TCAGTTAGATCATTTTCGATTGTTCTACTCCACGTTAGCGCTGACGCATCAGGTCTTCTGTCAAAGATTGCCTCGCTATGTAATTTCTCGGTTGTCTATGCGTATTTCAGTTTGGTTCAGCAGCCATTTTACAGATGTAGTATAAGATGGATTTCAGATAGATTTCCAAACGTTGTTAAGTTTACCAACTTAACAAGTTAAGTTTTGCTTTGTTGATACGTGCCCCAACGTCTTTCATCAGTTCGTATCTTTTATTAATATAAACTACTTTAGTTGTTTCAAAAATTTCTAGATTTATATATTATGACAAATTCAACGAGAACTATCTGTTCGTTAAGAATTAAAATTGGGTCAAGGACAATATATCATACAAGTAAAGAAAATATAATTCTATAGATTAAAAAATAAGCACAAAAATATCTGCAAGTAAAAATAGAGCTCAAAAATATTATTTTTCAAAACAAATTAAGCAAAGTCCACATATATCTCGTTATCGAAATTTCTCCACGAATAGAAATTTTTGTTGGACTGAATTCACGAAAGCATATGCAGAATGTTATTGAAGGAGTAAAGCAACAAATCGCTTATTTAATACAATGTTTGCATAATACATAGTATTTAAATTTAAAAGTTAAATTAAATTATTTTAAATTAAAATCAACATTTTAAATTAATAAAATTTTTATTTAATTAAGAGAATATGGTTCTAAAAAAATTTTTTATCTGCATAATAAATGCATAAACTCATTTACTTTAAGACAATCACCTTATATTCTACAATAATATTTTCAACATTTCGAGGACTTTTTATGCAACTTTCATTATATTACAACAATTATAAATATTTTATAAAAACAATATTTCATATTATTCATTACATTATACCAATTATGTAATTTAAATGAAATAAATAATCAACTTTCAAATGAATTTTAAACTAAATTCCACAAAATTATACTTAAAAACCAAAAATTCGATGTACTTACGCTTAAAACTGTAATGAGACCTCAAAGTCATTAATTACGTTAGTTATACGCTAATTGTACATTTAATGCAAACTGTTATAAAAGCAAAATTCTCAGTAAAAGATTTAAAATTTAAAATTTTTTAAAAACTTTCTATAAAATACTTTTTGAATAATAATAAAAAGCAAATGCAATGGGTGTAAATGGTCAGTTAAAGAAAATTGCATTAAGCATTTCATTAAAAGCACAAAGCCAAGTGCAAATATTTGTCTAATTATATCAAGTAAAAAGTTTACATATTCATTAAAAGGAATATTCATTAAATAACTAAAATTATTTTACAACGAAAATCTTTATTTTAAACTTTTCATTTCATGCATTCACTCTTCAACTGTTCAAAAAAAAAAATACTAAAAATAATTTGCTCTAATTCGCCTTGTGGAGTGTAATTACCTTTAAATTAAAGATAAAATAAAACACCAAAATTAAAAGCAAAACTACATTTAGAATAATTTAAAAATCAACTTCAAACATGAATATTTCATTTTAAAATATACTATGAGAGCATTCGGAAGGATTCATGTTAAATTTCTGCAGGAATTGCCCACAGCTATTTAAGAAGTGCAAGACTGCAATAGAAGGTCTGGTCTGTGCAAATATATTATAAAATTATTTAAATAAAATTTCAACTGCGACGCTCACTTTAATATTAAAAACGTTAATTTGCTTTCACTACTTTCACATTTCTGCATTGAAAAAATTCTTATTATTCAAGCCAATTTATATGTATAATGATGGAGGCTGCAGTGGTTAAAATTCCGAGCTTGTTTCAAACAAAATAGGTCAGTTATTATGCGACACTGTACGGCAAATTAATATTTATTTAGTGTGATGGGAACTTTTCAAAAACACATTTAACACAAATATTCCTACATGCAGACTTAAATAAATGGAAGCTATTTTTTTTTAATTAAAAGCATAAACGGATTTTTTATATCTTTAGTTTCAGTAGTTTCAGTTTTTTAGTTACACTAATCAAGGCTAATAATGAGGTTTCAAAACTTCTAACCGGAACTGACTAAAGACGAAAATATTCTTATTTGTGCTGGTGTGAGAACCGGAACGGAACTAAAAAAAATTATATCGCTTTATTAGAACTGAGCAGCGAATACTTCGATAATTGTTTATTCACATTCCATTAGTTGAAAAATATATACATTTTATTCAAATTTTTAAATAAAATTCAAATTTTCTATTCAAATTTTTGAATAAAATAGAATTTTATTCAAATTATATATATTTCAACGAAACTTAAACTAAATCATAGATCCGGTATTAAAATGGAACGAACTATTGATGCATGGACGTTATCACAGAATGATAAAGCAGCATTGAAAGTGTTCAAGAGAACAGTTCTTCGTGAGATCTTTGGTTCTCTACAAGTTGGCGACAACTACTGCATCCGAATGATCCACGACTTGCACGAGCTAACATATGGTATATCATGACATTGATAGAATGCAATGAATAAACATCCAGTGGTTTCGCTGTAGAAAGATGCTCCATCGAAAAAAGTATTTGAAACGGTAGTTAGAGGAAGAAAACGCAGAGGTAGACAGTGTCTCCGGTGGAGTGATCAACATAAGGGAGTACTATCCGGAATTGATGTACGAGACTGAAGAAGACACGCACGAAGTAGAGGCGCCTGCATTTCATTTTAAGAAAATAAATGAAAGAATTTTAGTCTACACAAAACAAAAAAAAAACGATTACGTGCTATGAATACATGACAAATATTTTTTCGCAATTTAATCGAAATCCGAATAGAAATATTTTTAGACCGAACAAAAGCCAGATTCAGACCGGCGTACTTTTCTTAAATGAATTGAAATAAGGAGTAAAAATATTTAAAAATCTTTGATTCGAAGTCTTACGTATTAATCAAGAAATTGTAAATATATATGTATGTCCGCATTAATTGACCCGGTGACTAATGACACTATTGAATTAATTTAGAATTAATGTAAAGAGGTCATTATGTAGTCATGTGGTATATAAACACGTTTATTTATATTGTGCAGTTCTTATGTTTTTATGTCATGTATACATTCTTATGCCCCAACTCACCACTAACTTAAACATTATTGGCTTATACATCCGTTCCATTAAAATAACTATATTCCTTCCCCAGTCTAGTATCAATTAGAAATATAAAAACATAAATATTTTTTTCTTGTTATCCGAATCCACCTCATGTATTTAACTGATAATCCATCTATATTTCCTACTTGATAGACACACTCAGGCCGTAAACAGAAACCTGAGTTTAAACACACTATTTTTGTATATGTGTCTGCTTTATATCTATAGTCGACTAAGTTTTGCTAATATGGCTATATATATATATATATATATAGTTACAGTGACCTTTTTTTCATGAGAAATATTAATAGAATGGAATTGCAATAAAATTTCAATCTTTCTGCAATGGTGAAAGATCTAAAGACACACTCTCCGATTATTAATCATGTGCAAGAAAAGCAAACGTACTTCCTGCAAGTATTGTCTTATAATAGTTTTCTACTTAGTTACTTTTACACTTAGAAATATGTTAGCTATAATTTTGTGGTCATAGCAAGTTGTACGAAGTAAAATCCTTTAACGAAGCAAAAGTACTGTAACAATGACTATAAAATTAATTTGAAGAATATATATGTAATATTATAAATCTATTTATATGTAATAATTAACAATAATTGTTTTTACAACCGTATTTTTATATATTATCATAAGAAACAAAAAGTTATATGAATGATGTGTGCGGTGGTTTGATTTGGCACATTTTGAATAAATGTCTAGCCACGTATAAGAATCGAGCTACAAATGATATGTGTGATCTATATATACAGAGGAATTCTAACACAAGATTGTTTGGTGAAATTCAGTTTAATTTAGTAATGAATGGAAAACTCTTTATTATTTTCAATTATATTACATTTTTTTATATGTTCTTTATGAATGATAATGCTCATGTATTAATGCAAACCAAATTTTTATAATTTATTTTTTTTTTTAGATTTTCTTTTTAGAATTGCAGACTTTCATTAATTGATAAACAAACAGCCCCCATTTTTTAGAGTCATAGTTTTTCACCAAAATTAGGAGTTATAAAGTTTATTTTACGCTGATATGTAACAACCATGATGAGAGAAGTTATTAGAAGTTTTTACTCAGTGTTGTCTATATTTAAAAGTATACTGTTTAAGTGCTCATAATACTACATAAGATGGATATCTAATATTGCATGTTCCATAGAATTATAAAGAAAGCTGAAAGAATGCAGGAATATGCAAATAGATATTTAAATATTTAAATTATTGTTAAATTTATCTTAGTTTCTTTCGAGAGCAAAGAATGATCAGTATGGGTTCAATTATAAAAAGTTCCTACCAGTTTTAAGCCCAGATAATTTTTAAATAGCACCATAATTGGTCGTTCGAGCTAAGTGGATTCCTATTTTCACTTAAACCGGTTCGCCGTCGTTACTGTGACTTAAAATTTTTCTGCACTCAATATTTTTTATTTTTTATAATACTCACTTAATGCGCACTAATAAGGTAAAGTTTCTGGTCTTCTCAAATTAGATGTAGATATATAATTAAAATTGAAAGGAATATATGTACTAATAAAGTAAATAAATAGGGAATTGTTCTTTTATTTCGAAGTGGTTATTTACTTTACAGTAAAATATCAATTTGCAATTGAAATACTTCAAATTGCCAATACGAGTAAATATTTTCACTATTTTTTGTAAAGTCGCACATTTATTATAATACAAAAAAGTAAAAGATATCAGATAGTTTTATTTTAATAAAACAATTTCTACAAAATTTTGCTTGAATATCATATGAAACGCATGTGACCGAGGAGCGATTCGCTATGTATAAATTTTTAAAATCTTGCCGGTATATAGAAATATATCTACAGATACATTTGTGTTTGGAAAGCTATTTGTGAAATGAAAAAAAAACTTACCATCATCACGTATGAAATCAACGTGGACGTTTTTTAAGCTCACTTTGAAAAAATCGACGAAGTTCTGGAAACCCTGTTGCATTTGCATTTTATCTAGTATTGACGTTGGCATTAAAACGCCCACATATTGCTGTGGTTCCTTCTGCAGTGGTTGTTGTAATCGCCGTTTTCGTTGCTGGTGGTGTTGTCGTTGTGGTTCCTGTAACAATTCAAAAGGTGTTGATTTTTGTCTGCCTGATATTGCTGCTGCTGCTGCTGCTGCTGGTGCGTTCGGTGGTGTTGGTATTGCTGATATTCGAGTTGTTGTTGATGTTGATGCAACTGTTAGTTCTGCAGTTGAGTTTGAATTCAATTTTTCAAATGCATTATGGTTTTTTATTTTTATTTTTGTTTTTGTTTTTGTTTTTGGTAAAGATGTTGCTGCCTGAAATTTTGCCGTTGAGGTTGTGGTTTTATGCAGAAGAGCATTCTGTGTCGGTTTTAGTGTTTGTGGTGATTTCGTGTTTGTTAAATCAACGGCAACGTTTTCAGTTGCTGAAATGTTAGTTAAAATTGTTATGAAAGCGCTATGAAATGTTGCTGTTGTTGGTGTTGCTGCTGTGTTTGTAATTGTTATTTTCCCTGTTGTTGTTTCAGTTGTTTCAGTTGTTGTTAATTGTGTAGTCGTAGTGTTTATTGAACTGGGAGTAGTCGCTTTGTTCGCAATATTCCTTGTAATTATTGTTGCTCTTGTAATCAGGTTTTGTATAGCTTGACTTGCATTAAGTTGCTGTTGCTGTTGCTGTTGCTCTAGCTGTTGCTTTTGCTGCTCTTGCTGCTCGTATTGTTCGTATTGGTCGTGCTGTGACTTTATAGCAATTTGTGTGTTGAACTTAATAAGATTATCACTATTATCTACACAACGTACAACAGCAATTTTAAGAGAATCGAGAAAGAAAAAGGCTGTCAGCAGCAGAAATATTTTAATAAATTGATAGATTGTTAACTTCATTTAGCTGCGGCACCAACAGTAAAATAAATTCATGCAAAACAGCCAGCAATATGCTGCAGGGTAAATTTTTATTTAAAAATTTTGGAAACTTTATTGTGAGAGTTTTGGTTTTCCTTTTTCCTTAAGAATTTAATAATTAATTTTTTTTTTTATTCGAATTTTCTTTTTTTTTTAAATAAATATTGCCTTTAACTTTCTTACTTTATTCTTTGTTTAAACTTGAAATTGCATTTACTTTATGTTTAACGTTTAAAACTTCAAGTTTTGGAAATTTTTCGTTATTAGTTTTTTCTTTTCCTTCACGTATTTTAGTGCCTTTCATTTCTGGTACTTATTGTCCTTCCTGCTGTTCTGGCTTTGTATAATTACTGTTCTGAAAGCAATACCAAAGCTGGCTCTTATCTTGTTTTGCAGTAATTATTTTCCTTGCTTTCGTTGCCGCTGTTGTACTTTTGATTTTCATAACCACTTCCAACATGACGAGTATCGCGTACCGCTTAAGGCTATCTGCAAAGACAAGGAATGAACATTTTTTTTAAAGATTTTCAATTGCTTTACAATTTTTTGGGTGGAAATTTAATAAAAGAAAATTTTTATTTAACAAAATCAACATGACAATATTAAGACGTAACAGGACTATTATGTAGGAGGAGCTAGAAAAAATATTATTTTTAAACTACGGAGGGAGGAAGTTTATACTTCGTAATATCTATAATAATTTTTTAAATTTTGCGCTATTTTTCGTTTATAATAATACCAATATTCATTTTTATTATTCTTAATACTAAGTATAATTCTTTAAAATTTTTTGACACAATCACAAAAGTTGAGTTTGCTTATTTCATTGTCCAACATTTCATATTTAGTATCTAAAGCAATCTAGTATCTAAAGCAAATAAAATTTTAAAAGAGAGTTGAAACTAATTAAATGAAATAAAAAATAACATTAATACAGACGATCAATTAGAATATTTGCTATTAACTATAAATACATTTGACTTTGACTGCCCAATACCAGCATTCCATATATTTCCATATATTTCACTTTACCACTTTATATAGATAGTAAATAATTATTAGTAAATATTTTAGAGTATTATATTAGTAATAATATAAGTTGCATTTTTTTGTAATTAAAATAAGTAATTGTTCTTAAAAATGAATCAATTTAGAAGTTAACCTTTACACTAGTAATGCAAAGATGACAATTTTGAGTTTTTAAATATTTCACCATGAGACGTCGATCAACTATATATCATTATGATATTTGTAATAGCGGTAGATGCATTAATTATCTCAACATAAATTCTCCAAGCTCCAAGTTTATGTTCTCCAAGAACATAAACTCTAAGCTTAGGAACTAGTCAAATAAAGTTTAATGTGCTCAAAAAAAGTTTTAAATAATTCGCAGCATATATAAAAATAATTAAAAGCATAAAAGATTAATATAACGTTCGTTAAGTTATAAGATTTTAAAATTTTTTTATCTACAAAGAGTGGATTATAATTTAACAGAATATAAATACCAGTTTCATGTCTAAGAGATTAGCTGCTTGACTCATTTGCTAATTACAATATTATTAAATGATATCTTTTTGTTTTCTTCTTAATTCGAACACTATTATCTATTAAAGTAGTGATAAAAATGAATGCATTATTTTTAAATACGAGTGCTGTGCCAAAATGTTGAACCTTGGAAAATAAGAAGGAGCGATGAAAATTGACAGTGACATTAAATTAATTATGTGTTATTTAATATTTTATGAGTATAATCCTTTGATTATATTCCATCAATTTTGAAACGAAACTTCTATTTGAAATAGTTGCAATGTGTTTATTTCAAGACAGCCATACTTGCTCAATAAATCATTTAAAACCTTATTATGATTATCTCGCCTATTTGTTGCGATATAGTCTATAAATAAATTTTTTGCTTCAAATTAGCATTACATAGTCCATTGGTCTACTAAAGTTAGCTCCATGGTACATAAAATATTTTAAATTCAACTTGAAAGCTATTATTTTCATTGAAGATATTGGTACCGGTCCTTATAAAATACATTCAATATTTTTACCATCTATAGCACTTTATAGAATGAGGTACACTGATTTATGCCATTTCATTGTATTTAACAGTGAAGTAAAAACCGTTTGTTTATATCTAAACAAATTAAAAGGATCAACAACGATGACAAAAAAACCTGAAAAACGTTTTAACCAAAAAACAACAAACAATAAAGAATAAAAACCAAAATGAACGAGAAAAGTATGGAAGACTGCATTGGGGTTATGGGTTATATTCGTTTAAATTTAGAATCCGGCAGCTGAAAATCACAAAAATAATATAAAATAAAATAGATGACCTCTTTAGGCAAACGAGAATATAAAATATTAAAAAAAAGTGGAAATGCATTAAAATGGATGAAATATTGGAAAAAAATCTAAAGATGTAAATTGTAAAAAATATGGTTGACATATAAAATAAATAAATTTATTTATTTAGGCACAAACAATTTTGCGGAACATTGTCTGTTTTAAGGTTTGAACGAATCTTATTGGGGCAATAAATAAATGGCATAAAAATTTATTTGTAATATTTTGAACATAAAAACTCCAACGAAAATTGAAAATAAAAATTTGGATGTCATTTGAATACAAATTGAATAAAAATTGAAACAAAATATAATAAAATGAACGGTTTTTATATAGTATTTCTATGGTATATGGTGCACAAAAGTATTATATGCAAGATTATTTCAGTTTAGTCTTACATATACTAATAATTACGAATCAAGCCTATAAACATGTCTAACTTTAAAATATACTAGAATGTATAGATTTTCATAGCCTGACACTGTAATTTCCACTTGAAACATAAACACTTTTTTAAGTACTTAAATAGCCTTTGAAATGAGAATCTGTCATAAAAAATTTTAATTAAATATAATAATTTGTACAAAATGACTTTAAAAAAATTTCCACAACTATGTTTACCTATTTATCTGCTTTTGTTTTTAAAATAAAAAATGAAATTTTGTATACAAAATTGTTATGAATAGAGCGGCACATTTTTTTAATTAAATGATCATATATCACAGTTACAATATATATTGAACAAGTTTAGTGGAATATTCTTTATTGTTTATATAAGTATTAAGCTGATTGAGCAGATATCTATGTAACTTACAATTATTTTATAACAAAAAGTCTTGATTATATTATAAGACTATAATATAAGATACGTCTTATATATAAATAATTTAAAATATAATAACATATACATAATATAATATATAATAACATAAAAATATCATAATATATAAAATTATTAATAAGAGCAGCAATACACCTGCTAATCCTACAACCTACCATACCCTTTTCATACTTTTTGCGTAAAGGGTATAAAATGTGAACTAAAAGAGTTAGTTCGATAGTATTGAATGTGTCAATTGTTGTGCTAGAAAACTGCAACAACTGTTAATGCTAGATCGTCATGCGATATATTGTGTGATTCAGGTTGAGGTGCAACCCTACGCATTAGTTCCACCAGCATATGAGTATATAAAATATTGAACAATCATTTAGCTGTGAGAATGGTTTGTTCCGTTGGATTCCTCATCCTTTGACAAAATATCAAAAAGATGCTCGTGTCGATTGGTACACACAAATGCTCAAGAAGTACAATTGCCGTGCTTCAAACGACGTACTCATATATAAAATTATAACCGGTGACGAATCATGAACGCATCATGGATTAGCCAGAACATTCACGATGAACCAAATCTAACATAAGTTCTTCGCGCTCGAGCACTTCGAAACAAATGGCTTGTTTTTTCGGAAAAACTAGTCATGTGACAACTATACCATTATAAGAACATTAAACGGTCAATTCCGAATGATATACAACCATTTGTTTACCGGAAGTCTTCAGTGAAATACGGAAACATAACAAGCGTCAAAGTTTTTTGATTAATTTCAAAAAATCACATTAATGGGTCATATGCGTACAGTCCTAACTTAGCATCCAATGCCATCTTCTTGTTCCCGAACGTCAAGCATAAATTGCGTGGACAACGATTTTTGTCAGCATAAGAAGCTATTGTTGCATTTTAAAATCAAGTTTTGGGGGTGTCTGAAGAAGATTGGAAAAAATGCTTTGAAAATGGGTTCGAATACATCCAAAAGTCTTTTAATCATTATGGAGAATACTTGAAGAAATAATAAAGCAATTTTCAATAACAAGTTAGTTTTGTTTTTCATTATAAGGCTCAAAATATAAATAGTGAGCCTCGTATTAAAAAAATTAACTAAAAAATTATTTTAGCACAGAAATCGTGAACAAAAATCGTGAGTTGGGTAATTTATTGTTATTTTGAACTACATTAAAATACAAATTAATAAAAAAAAATAATTATAAATTATTAATCTTACATTTCTTTGCAAAGCGATTGCAATTTGTCAAAACACACTATGGTTTAATAAAAGGTGAATTTCTAAGAATTCTATCTTGATGCTGTGACTTGTAATAAGTGGTTAATTATGTATTGTATGGAAACCGACCTACCAATGAATTATTCTTGATATATCAAGTTTTACCTAGATTACAAACAAAGATAAATTTTCTAAATTTATTTTATAATTCGTTAATTTCTCTAAATACATCAGGTTTGATTTCGTAAAAGTGATAATTTGATATAAATTGTCATATAGATAGTTATTATTTATTAGTATATCGCTTAAAAGTGATTTATTGCATAAAAATAAAAAATTATAATAGAAATGTAAATAAATCACGTAATCTTTATTCTTTAATTTTAAATTATTGTAAAAGTAATTAAGTATTGTTAAACACACAAGTAAAAAATTTATTTTTGATTCTTCCTTGGTTTAGTTGTAGACTCCCATAAAGAGATATTTTAGTTTCTGATATGTTGAAATTAATAGCTTAATATAAATTTCTTATAAAAGTAGGTATTATTCATCCAATTCATTATTAAGTT